GTTTAAAAAAAAAAAAGAAAAAAAAAAAAAAAAAAAGACCTAAGACCTCTACCCAACCTACCTCCTCTACCCCGCCCATGGTGAGTACATGAGACATAACCCAGAGATCGATGGACCACACACTACACACAACCGACACACACAAACACAGAACCTCCTGATGAGTCGGTGAAAGTCCGCCGAACGTCTGGCACAGTCATGCTTTTTTTCAGTGTATAGTGAGTATGACAACACACACACACACACACACACACACACACACACGCACGCACGCACCCTCGTCAGACCACCCCAAGGCCAACCACTCAAACACCCCTCCCCCAAGGCCCTGCTACCAGCATACTGCAACCATGGACTAAACCCTTGGGTGGTGCACAGACAGTGTTTGTAATAATTACCATGGGTCAGCCCAAGGGGGAGTGTGTGAATGATTGTGCGCTATGAAAGCGCTGCCGGTGTACGTCCGAGGCCTAGCATCCAGCCTCGACTACGATCTCGATTTGGGGAGGAAAAAAAAAATGGATTTCAACTTTTCAAGTTTGAACGGATTTATTGTGCTCCATGTTACTTACCATAGAGGTAAAACTGTTTCATTGTTGGAATGTCTAAACTCAAGTGTGCTTCATTGTCTGCAATAGAACGAAAGCTGCTTTGACTTTGGTTCTAATCATCTGGGTGGACAAGGGGCTGCAGCGGTGAAAATCCAAAACACTCGCCCACACAAACAAAGGCTGTTTTTTAATTTTGGACCGATGCATCTGGGCGGAAAAGGTTTACCGTTGTCAAAGGAAAAGGAAAAAAAAAAAGCGTTTGTTCTGATCACATCATCACAGTGTACAATACACACACACAATTTCAGTGTGGGTATCCATGGCTGTGTGTGTGTGGAGTGGGTTTTATGGCTGTGACTCCTGTGATAGACTTGTGTCTCAGACTTCCATTCTTGTCAGCGGTTTGAACTGACAGTCTGCTATGATCGTGGAGTCGGTGTGAGCGAAGTTGACCACCACCTTTTTTCTTTTTTTTTTATTTGGACCATTTCTCGATTTATGCGTGGCATCCTTGTGCAGAGTTGAGTCGTTGATACTCCTTATGCGTGTGGGTATCCATGGCTAGTCTTCTCTGTATCGTTTTAATTTTAACGGATGTTCCGAAGGACAAGTCGACCACTCTTCTCTCTCAAGGGTATCGCTAAATCTTGTGTTGAGTCCTTGATACTCCTCCTTATGCGCCTTGGGGAGACTGTCGGGGCCCAACCACCTGATGAGTTGGTGAGAGTGGGACGAAAGTCTTTGCACAGTCGTGCTTTTTTTTTTTTGTGCGTGGACTTATGTACAGAGAACATGCCAACACACAATAACAACAGTTGTTAGAAACTGCGCAACTGCATCCTCGTCCTCGTCGTTGTGATGTCTTGATGATAATGATGTTGATGTCAACGCCGTCATCCAAAAACTGCTCAACTTTGATTAATCCAGTGGTCTGATAATGAACTAGGGTGTTTTTCCGGGCGCCTGGGCACCCGACTTATGCCCGGGTACACGCCCAGGTGCCCGGCCGGGCATGACCCCCGGGCAGGGTTCCGGGCAGCCCTAGCTTCAAAAAATAAAAATTTCAAAATTTTCAAAAAATCGGGGAAAAAAATATGTTGTGTGGAATTGCAATACGAGCGTTTTTTGGCTGAGGGGTCACATTAGAATTCCTCACAGAACCGGAGATAAAAAAGAAAATAACGGAATCACACTAAGGCACCCCCCTTTAAACCCCTTTA